CTAGACATAGGACAATTAGCTGATTCACTTACCCAAGAGTACGGCTTGGAACTTAGAAGTGCCGGCCGACCAATCTATAGAACTCTATATCCAGAAGTGGTAGACCAAGTTGAGTTCCCTAGAGGATATAAAGTCTCTGACTTTGTAACCTTTAGTGGAGAAGGGAATCAATCGACCGTGGAACACATGGGCCGCTTCACAGTTCAATGTGGGGAGGCCAGTGTGAGCCCTTGGTTAAAACTAAGACTTTTTTGACAGAGGCAGCTTTTTCATGGTATATTCGTTTACCTCCTAACTCTGTTTTTAATTGGCCACAGATGGAGGAGTTATTTCACAATTAATTCTACCGTACGGAGATAGAACCAACTCTGGCCAATTTATCCAGGCTGAGCCAATTGCCTAATGAATCAGTCGAGACAATCATTGCAAGATTCAGGAGGGCAAGATTGAGATGTCGTGTACATCTTCCAGAATAGGAGTATATCCGTTTAGCTTTGAACGGCCTAGATTTTAAACTCCGGAAGAGGTTTGAAGGAGTCCCATTTCGTGACATGTATAACCTGGCCGAGAAATTTACCAGGTATGAGTTGGTCCTCGAGGAGGAGAAAGAACGGAATTTTTTTTCTAAAGGTACATATTATAGGGACCGCAATTATGAAGTTTTTTCAACCGATGTGGTTGAAGATGAAGATCTTGATGCTAATTTGGCTGAAATTATTCTTAAGAAGCCTTATGTATGTGAGGCTTTGACAAAACCAAAGGCATCTACTAGTGTTACTCAGCCATCAACTTCATCGGCCACGAAGTGTACGATCGATACTAGTAAGGTTTATACGTTTGATCTGGCCAAAATAGAACAAATTTTTGATCATTTGTTGGCCGACAAACAAATTATTCTGCTAAAAGGACATAATATACCATCAGCCACTGATTTAAAGGGAAAAGAGTTCTACAAATTTCATAATTCATGGAATCATAGTACTAACAATTGTTATGTATTTAGAAATGTATTGCAGAAAGCAATTGATGAAGGTGTATTGAAGTTCCCTGAAAAGAAGCCAGAAGTGATGGGGGTCGATGGTGATCCATTCCCCAATATTATAAATACCAATTTAATCAGCCTGGCAACTGGAAAAGCCGTTGATAATGGTAAACAAGAAAGGTTACCAAGAGTACATGATAGTTCACCATCAACTAGCAGCGATGAGTAGAGAGTGAAGGATTTGTAAAATCAGTTGAGGGAAGCTCAAATTACCCTTATCAACCACGACTGTTGCCCAAATTGCAAAGACCGTAGGAATAGTTAGGACAAGAAGAGCTATTTTCAATCGACTAGGAAGCGCAATGTCTATAAAAGGTTGGGGGCATCAGCCAAAACAGAATCCCGAAGAAATTAATCAACCAATATTCAGAGAGAACGGGCAAAGAGCAGTAAGAATCATTCGGTCAGAAAGATCTGTGGCCAACAGAGTTTTGCCAGAACAACATTCGTATCCTAGTTTCAAAAGGAAACTAGTAATCCAGTCAGAAATATAGATTCAAAATGGGAAAGAATCTAGCCTTGTAAGAACGGTTAAACCTCTTTTAGTTGATCATGGCAGATGGACTCGTGTAAATCATCCAAAGTTCCCTAAGCAGCCTTCTACCCGTACTAAAAAAGGAAGGATGCAAAGGAAGAATGCAGAACTTAGAAGAGAGGCTAAAATCGACCAGATTCAATCAGCTAAGAAAAATGAACCAAGGGAGGCTGTAGACATGGAGGTTGCTATATCTTTTGAGAATGAGCCATCTTCCTATGAGGAGAAAGATGATCAGTCAGATCAAGATCCAAAACATACGGCCAAGTATAGGATTCGTTTTGGTTTTCTTTCGGATAAGGTAAATTATAATATGGTATTTGTTTTGTCTTTTAAGTTTGAAGCAAGGACGGAGCCAAAGATGAACAGGGACGTCACATCAGTCAATCATAAGGGCGAGGCCGAATCATCATAAATCAAGAATGATTCACAGAGTTCATCGGTTGGGGTAGGATTGGTCTCTCAGGACCAACCAACTAAGGCCGATAAAATCATCTTTAAAAAACCACCTCTGGCCTTGACACAACAGTTGAGGCCGTTGTATGTTAAAGTATGGGTTAAAGGTCAGCCAATCAATAGGGTGTTGGTCGACAATGGTTCGGTGGTAAATGTCATTCCAGCGACTACTTTGAAGAAATTGGGTAAGACCATGGATGATGTGGTTCCAACTGATGTGGCCATCAGTGGTTTTAATGGAGTAACACCGAAGGTGTTCTGCCTCTGGAAATTACTATTGGTGGCAAAACATCTTTCACGGCTTTCTTTATCATTGGTTTAATTGCGGCCTATAATCTCTTTTTAGGCCGAGATTGGATTCACCCTAATATGTGTATCCTATCAACATTGCATCAAATGTTGATTTTTTGGGATGGTAATGAGGTAAAAATTATTAAGGCTGATAATAAACCTTTTATAGTCAGGGTGTATTCGACCGAGGTTGCACTTTATGATGAAACTATTGTACCTATCAAATTTGTTGGCATTAATAGGATGGGACGACCAATAGCAGCTACAATAAAGAAAAACTTGGTTAATACTGATATTGAAGAGCTAATGACAGAAGTAGTTCGGCCGAAAATTGATATTTTTAGGTCGACCATCAAGGAAATTAAAGACATTTCTGATGGATTACACAAATAAAGAATAAAAGAAGCGGCAAGCTTTTAGGGCCGCTTGCATAAGACTGAAAACATATTTGGCTGAAAAGAGATTGGCCAGAGAAGAGCAGTTATCTGAAGAAGTATCGGCCAATATGGCCGATATAGTTGAAGAAGGTTTTGAAAAACTAAGTACAATTCAACTTGAAGATCTGGAGTCAGCCCCTCTCAAGATGGAAAACAATAAGGCAGAGGTTCAGGATCCTTTTATATGAAATTAATGTTGGTACTGAAGAAGATCATCGGCCATTTTTTGTTAGTGCTTTACTTGAGCCTAATTTTCAGGCTGATTTGATCAAGTTATTAAAGGAATACGAGTATTGCTTTGCTTGGAGCTATGAAGAGATGCCTGGCATGTCACGGAAGTTGGTAGAATACAGATTGCCTATCAAGAAAGACTTTCAGCCATATAAACAATCACCAAGGAGGATGTCCTTGGAAGTAATGCTCAAAATTAAAGAAGAAATTAAAAGACTTCTTAAGGCAGGATTTATCCGAACGGTTAGGTATGTTGAATGGTTATCTAATGTTATTTCAGTAATAAAGAAAAATGGTAAACTTAGGATTTGTGTGGATTTTCGTAATTTAAATATTGCCACTCCAACAGACGAATAACAAATGTCAGTGACCGATTAACTTATTGATTCGGCTGCTAAAAATGAAATTATGTCTTTTATGGATAGCCATTCAAGTTATAATCAAATCTATATAACCGAGGAGGATATTCACAAAACGGCTTTTAGATGTCCTGGGTCAATTGGTACTTTTGAGTGGGTTGTAATGCCATTCGGCCTAAAGAATACACGGGCTACTTATCAAAGGGCAATGAATTCAATCTTCTATGATATGATTGGCCGATTTATAGAAGTTTACATAGATGATATGGTTGTGAAATCATCGGCCAAAAAACGGCATTTGGAACACTTGAAAAAGGCTTTTAAAAGGATGAAAATTCACAAATTGAAAATGAACCCGTTAAAGTGTGCTTTTGGGGTCTCAGCCGGGAATTTCTTGGGATTCTTGGTGCACAAACGAAGCATAGAATTTGATCATAATAAGGCTAAAGCTATTATGAATGCTATGGCCCCAACCAACAAAAAACAGGTACAAAGGTTTCTCAGCCAGGTAGGTTTTCTTAGAAGATTTATTTCTAACCATGCTGGTCGAGTACATGCTTTTTCTCCTTTATTGAAATTAAATCACATGAGAAATTTCATTGGGATGAATCCCATCAGAAGGCCTTTGAAAAAATGAAAGAGTATTTGGCAAACCCCCCGATAGTGATGCCTTCAAGGAAGAAATGGCCGTTGAAACTTTATTTATCGGCCGCAGAAGAATCAGTTGGCAGCATGCTTGCTCAGGATAATGAACTTGGGAAGGAACATGTTGTTTATTATTTAAGCAGAGTACTAACTAATGTTGAATGCAGATATTCCTCAATTGAGAAGCTTTGTTTATCTTTGTATTATTCAGCCATGAAAATAAGGGTATCCATGAGGCCGGTTAATGTTTACATTCTTTTTCAAACTAATGTGACTAAATACAAGTTGTCAAGACCATTGATCACTGGCCGAATAGGTAAGCGGGCATTGGCTTGATGGAATTCAATTTTATCTTTGTCCCACAAAAATCAGTTAAAGGAAGAGTTCTGGCTGATTTTTTGGCCGATCATCCTTCGACTGATATTGATCCACAGGTTTACGATGAGTTAGAGTCATAAGCCATATTTCTAACCGCTTAGATATTGATGTTCGATGGATCAAGCACGGCCGATGGGGCAGGGGAAGGTATTGCTATCATTTCTCCAGCAGAAAGAAAAACTTCATTTTCATTTTTCTTAGATTTTAAATATTCAAATAATCAGGCCGAATATGAAACACTTATAATTGGCTTAAAAATTCTAATTGAAATGGCTGTTAGGGATGTTAAAATTTTGGAAGATTCAAATTTGGTACTTAGCCAAATTACTAAAGATTTCAAATGCTTAAGTTAGCAATCAAGGCCGTTTTATTCTCTGGCTACTTCGTTGATTAATCAATTTGACACTGTTCAACTTAAGTTTTGGCCGAGATGACAGAATAAGGAGGCCAATATCATGGCCCAAGCAGCCTCCGGAATAAAAATACCAGCCGGAGTAGAAGATCAATTGATAAAGATAACAAAAAGATCATTGCCGTCAGCCGAATTAAGAAATACTGAGATGGCTGATTCTTGGATAATTGAAATTGAAGATCTGGCTGAGGATGATTGAAGAATACCATTCATAATGTTTCTTCGAAATCCAAACATCAAGACCGACAGAAGTGTCAAGAGAAGAGCAGTCAACTTTTTACTCTTTGATGGAGATTTATACAGAAAAGGGCTGGAAGATGGACTTTTATTACAATGCATAAGTAAGGAAGAATCACTCCAGGTTATGGCCGAGGTACATGAAGGCAGTTGTGGAGCCCACCAAGCAGGAATTAAAATGAGATGGCTGATCCGAAGATATGGATACTATTGGCTAAGAATGAGTAAAGGTTGCATAGATTATGCAAGAGGCTACCAAGTTTGTCAAAATCATGGGCCGATTCAAAACGTGCTAGCAAAGGAATTACAGCCAATAGTCAAATTATGGCCGTTCAGAGGATGGGGCCTTGACCTTATTGGTAAAGTTAATCCACCATCAAGTGAAGGCCATCACTGGGTGATTGTTGCCACGGATTATTTTACTAAATGGGTTGAGGCCAAAGCTTGTAAAATGGTTGATCAACAAACAATAATTAACTTCATGGAACAACATATTGTCCATAGATTTGGAATTCCGGAAACACTTGTTTCAAACAATGCAACAGTGTTTAGGGCAGCTGATGTGTTACAATTCGGCCACAATATGAACATCCATATGTCAACCTCTACACTATACTATGCCCAAGAAAATGGTCAGGCTGAGTCTTTAAATAAAATTTTAATTGAGATCATTGAAAGAATGATCAAAGAAAAGCCAAGAAGGTTTCATGAGACTTTGTCTGAGTCTCTATGGGCCTATAGAAATTCAAAAAGAATAGGCACGGGAATCACACCAAATATGTTAACTTATGGACATGACGATGTTCTGCCTATGGAAATGAAGGTTAAATCGGCCAGAGTTGCATTCCAAAATAGTCTAACTCTGGCTGATTACACTAAAGTAATGTTAATAGAATTGGAAGACTTAGATAAAGTCAGGCTGGATGCTTTGGATCATATCATAGCTCACAAGAAAAAGGTAATGAGGATCTATAACGAAAGGGTAAAACCTAAGTCTTTTGCTGAAGAAGATTTAGTTTGAAAAGTTATTTTGCCAATAGGTAAGGTTGATAGAAATTATGGGAAATGGTCTCATAAATGGGAAGGGCCGTACTTAGTCCATTAAGTCCTAAGTGAAGGAGCATACAGGCAGAAGTATCTTAGTGACCGATTGCATGATTACCCCATTAATGGCTAGTACCTTAAGAGGTATGTGCCAACAATCTTTGAAAGGGAAAATTAGAGTCAGCCAATACCTTTGGCTGACCATGTGTACCTTTATGATTAATAAAATTCGGCCATTTATAGGCTGATTTAATTATTTTAATAAAAGGAAACTCTTGCTAAGTATTGAATTTGTTAAAGCGGTAAACAAATAAAGACCAATTTAGAGGTGGTCCGAAAGAAATAAAGTCTAGAAGCTCGTTGGCTACCAGTTTCTTTCGTGTTATAAAAATTCCGAAAGCCTCTTATCATAAGTGATAATGGCATTTGAAATTCAGGGGGCATTTGTTGGCACCAAAACTTGGCAGCCACCTCAGCGGTGACGTGGACCAGTGAGGGGCCAACACGTGTTCGGTATGATTCCAAGGGAAGTAAGCCAATGGAAAGACAAAAGGAGGTAATCTAGGGAAATATATTTCAACCACTTTATCAATAGGTTGGTTGTTAAATATATATTGCAACAGGAATTTGAATTAATTCAAATTTGGTTATTAATTGAAAAGGGAACATTGGAGATTCGGCTAGAATGAAATCCCTAGGAAATAGGGATTCATTTGGAGAAGGAATTTCAATAAAGAAGGGCAGTCACATGAGTCATGTATTTAGAGAAATACCTCAGCCGAGATTAAAGAAAGGAGTTGCTAAAAATTAGCAACTTCTTTAGCAACTTTTCAGCAACAGTTCGGCAACTTGTATTTGACTAAATCAAGGACGGTTTTCAGCAAGGATTTTCTATTGAAGCAAGACGAAGCAAGATGAGATAGGAAGTAAAAGAGCACTGGGTTTTGACCTAGTCTGAACAATAAAGTGAAGAAAATCAAGGAGAAGAGGATTTTCAGAGCAAGAAAGTAGGAAAATAAGTTGATTTAGAACTTCTATAAATAGAAGTATTGTAATTCATTCCAATTGGTCCAACACCACCCACAAAACATGCATTTCTTATTCAATTGACTCTACATCATTTTATCAATTTCTTTATGGCAATCGATTAAATTCTTGTCACTGCATTTTGTTCTTCTACTCTTTCAGTCAATTTTCATTATGCCAGTTTTAATTATGCAATTTTAATTTTAAGATGATTTCAATTCAATGGTAATTGATTAAATTCTTGTCATTACATTTTGCTGGCAATTGATTAAATTCTTGCCGCTTATTTTCGTTCGGCTTTTTCATTCAGCCTTTTTCATTCAAATTTTTCTTTAGTCATTGCATTCTTTTAACACCCAGATAAAAAGTCCTTGCATCAAGGTATAAAAGAACCTTATTGGGAGTTCTTACTAGTCTCTCTCCTATACATTCGCCTGAAAGTCAGTCACGGAAAAAGGGATAGGCTGGTGTTCATTTCAATATTTTGGGTGTTTTGTACAAATACTCTGACATACCCGCAAGAGTCCATTGATCGGCGTAAAAACTGCACGAACAGTTTGCATTGCAATATCACAAACTATATTAAATGAATTCAACGACTTCATTGCATACTCGATTCCAATACCCAAAAAGAGAGAGAAACAAGGTGAAGACTTCATATTATTCCCCAAAGAAAAAACAAGAAGCCATTTATTTAGGCTTACAAAGACCACCAAGTATCTGTTCAATGATATTTCCTCTCCAAGTGATAGATATAGGGTTGGAACCTCTTCTTCGTCAAACAAAGTTGGCAACCTAGTGAAAGCATCATGCTTCACTACTGATCAGACCCATAAGTAGCTGATTTATAAATAAATCAGTTTCACCATAAGCGATGCTGCAACTCCAAGAAAAATTAAAGGGAAATCGAACAAGCACCACATGGCCCAGAAACTTGGAATCTGGTGAGCGCCAATAGTCACCAAGAAGTTGGGCATGGTCTTCTTGGCAGCAAGACCACAATTGACAAGTATTGCGGCACCGACCAACAAGGGAGCTGCATGGTAGCAGAGTGACCATTTACTAGTAGCCATGGACCAGAAGGTGCGAAAAATGGCGAACAGACTGACCAAAAATGCGAGCGTGTTAGTCATGATAGCATAGAACACTTCCGGTAGTTGGTTAGGAGACCTTATTATATCTTCAAAACTGATGGTTAAAATTTCAACAGTCTGCTCTGCGGGATAGAGATCGATTAAATTGAAGAGAGACTGATAAGCAGCACTTGCTACAAAAATCAACCATGCCAGCAACAACGATTTCCTCATCAACTTCATGCTTTCCTGCATCATCATCTTCTCTGAATCTGATTGTGAACAATTATTAGATGATTGTCCTTTCTTGACACTAGCCTCGTGAAGAATGTCACAGATTTCTCTATCATTTTCATCATACATTTGTCGGTAATGGAGGTCCAAGGCCGTTAAACCCAAATTATTCATGGAGTTCACATCCACCACACAATCACCATTTCTGTGCTCGCAAGAGACCAACAGTTTCACGATCTAAATCAGACAAATAAATTTTACATATTGATTAGAATTGCATTCAATACCCGTGTGTGTAGAACAGGAACATACAATTTTTTTTAAATAATAATAATAACAATAATAATTGTAACGGTTTTACCTTTCCCATTTTAATTTATACTTGTAACATGTCTATAAATGATATGAAAAAATAAAAAAAAAAATAAATAAATAAATAATAGTGGTCCATAAATGAGATTGTCAAGTGTCAATATTCTTTTTCTTATATATATATATTTGTAGTTATATGTTAATTGTTGTAGCAAAAATTATAATAACAATTAACACTTTTTTTTACTAGATTTTATTTTTTTAAAAAATAAGACTATAATTATTTATTGAAATTTGAAGGGGTCACAAATACTTTAATTTGCAAACCACCTCTTTCTTTTTTTCTTTTTCTTTTTTTAAAGAAATAAAAATAAAAATTTTAAATTAAAAGTTGGAGATGCTTAATGTTCGAATCCCAAAAACAACACAATCGCTCGACCATGAAAACATTCACCAAAACCACCTTTAATAACCTTAAGTTACCTTTCAAAAAAAAAGTAGAATTGGCTACTTTTAATAGTAAGGCCGGATATTGCCTTTTACCCCCAAAAAATAAACCAGTAAACAAATAGTACGGCAGCGTATGTGATATAAATGATATTAATAAATTCTCTATCTATTTAACTTAAAATTAGAAAAAATACTAGGTAATTAGTCCCCCGCTCCCTACCCCTTTCCCTTTTCAAGGAATTGCATTGCTCTTTCCTACTATAGCCTTTACCTCTAATTTTTTTAATTAGAATCTATTTACAATAATAAAAAAAAGGCAAAAAAAAATTAGTGGCCAGCAATTAGCAATTTTTAAAAATTCTTAATATAAAATTGAAAAAATATTATAATTTCAAATTTTATACGTATGTAATTAGATTATAGTATCAAATAAATTGGTATTTTTATTGTTGAAGTGTAGTGGAACAAAATTATATTCTTTAATAATCATAATCATTATTATTATTTATTTATTTGTAAAAGAAAGGGATAAATTTAACATTATATTCTCTATGTTCCAAAAAATATGTTCACTTTCTATTTTTGGCTATCCCAAAATAAATGTCCCAATTCAAAATCCAATGTACTACGTACGTTTTAATATTTCTAATTTACCCTCATTGTCTTGAAGTTACAAAAACATGTGAACCCACTATAAAAAAGGGTGCATACGGTTCGATTTGGTTTCCCGCCTATGAACTTTTTTCCTGTTCCAGTGTTCTCTTACTTATTTGAAGGCTTTGAGCCTTTGAGCCCAGTAGCCACATCTTCTAAAACATCCCATCCCATGGTGTGTGAGTGTAAATCGGAGAAGCCAGTGTGACCGTGTCGCTGACTGAGAAGTTTAAGATGACAAGATGGTGTGTGGGTGACTGAAAAGCTGTCTCAAAAGTGCTAATGAGAGACGAGGACTGAGATGGTGTGTGGGTGATTAAGAAGCTGTGTCGAGAGGGTTGATGAGAGATGAGGACTGAAGATGAGAGGAGTAGAGGACTAATGAGGACTTAGAGATGGGGAGGCGAGGGTTAGGGTTAGTCTGTTTAGATGAGAGAGAGTTGAGTTTTTTGGTTTAGTGGTGGACCACATGTTGGTATGATTGACAATTTGTAATGATCCACTCTGACTCCACCACATGGTATGATATTGTCCGCTTTGAGTCTGAGTTTACACAGTTTTACTCTTAGATTTTATCCAAAAAAGTCTCATACCAATTTGAGTGACACACCTACATATAAGCACTTCACTTTTCTTTTACCCCAAGCAAAGTGAGATTGTGAACCAGGGAGAAGAAGAGGAGCAAAAACAGAGCACATAATCGTAGATTGAAAGATCAAACCATACAAGCAAGCTTTAATTAGAGATCACCATTTTTACAACATCATCATTTTATTTTTTCTATATGAAAGCGCATTTTTTTATTTTTTAAGCCCATATGATCAAGATACTACCCCCCACACACAAAAAGGTTTTTAAAAATTTTAATATACCTCCAAAAAATAGTTAATTTATAAATAAATTTTAAATTGGAGTCCTAAAAATATAGAGTTTGAAAATTAATTTAACTTGTATCCTTTTGAAACTTATACAAAAATTTTACTCTGACCATTTTAGTTATACTCTTGAAAACTCAAATCTTGTGGAACATACCTTCCAAAAAAAAATTATAAAATCTTGTGAAACATAATTTTTTGTTATTATGATTGTAGAACCCTCATCATTATTTCATTTACATATATACATGTATATTAATTTAAAAGATAAAAATACATTGATGTCCCGTCATTTTTAATAAAAATGCATTCACTTGTTTTTTTCTTTTTCTCACACATTTTAGTCTTACGAT